AAAGTGGACTGAGCTGGAAGGCAGCACTTTGGCTGTCCTGGAGCACTGTGTGTCCAGCAGTGCTCAGCCCACTGGCACTGAGCAAGGATTCTCTTTCTCAATTCCTAATCACATACTTTTGAACTAAATATTTTTACTGGTGAGAAAATTCCAGCCCAGGGAACTCAGGGAGCAGAAATATCCTCTGTGAGTTTTATGTCCATCCAGAACAAACCACTGTATATGAATTACAAGAAAGCTTTTCCAACTTCTCCAGACCACAGATATGCAGAAACAATCTTGCAAATACACTGGAGGCATTTTCTTGGTTTTCTTAGCAATTTGCAAGGAAGAAATAAAAGGGAAAATTCATGTATGAAGTTGCTATAAATTATTTGCTGAGTTGTAGCTGACAAGTTTCTTATTGCTTTCTGCCATATGCAGACACCAACTTTGTGTAGAACAAGTCCAGCACTACAAACTGTTCAGGGTATGACAGATTTTCTCCTTCTCAGGGTTGGACATCCTGCTCTGCCACACTCAATCTGAATAAAGTGGGGGAAACATCACAAACTCATCCCATCCCGAAGACCCCATCCCTGGGGTCACTCCATTCATCAAACAAATAAAGATTGAAGCAAAATGACATAAACACTACAAATGGATTTCTCTCTGTCCACGTAGCTTCTCCTGAATTTCCTGTGTCTTTTTGGGACCAAGAGATACTCAGAGCCAAGCAGACAAGGCAAGACTGAAGCTGAAAGAAAAGCAGTCCATGTTCACACTCTGGCCCAGGAAACATCAGTATTGCTTCTGGGCAGGCACAGCTTCCTTCTACTCCCTGAATTCAGGGAACAGACAATGGCCAAAGATTTTACTTGGCATCGCTAGTTAATAAAGAAGTACCTCATGTCTAAGAACTGCTGAAAGGCCATTTTTCAGCAAAGCAATTGTATTAAGACTTAGATTGGCTAGAAATGTCAATGGAATGATAGAAAACATCATTTGCAGCCTAGAAGTTATAGATTTAAGGGACATAAGCAGAACAAACTATAACATTTTGAACATATGCAAAACTAAATGAGACCTGCTGGCATCCCAGGCAAATTTAAATGGCTCTCAGTAACTCTGGGTAACTCTGGTATAGCCAAGCTGTGCTTTGCCATCAGGGGAAGGAAGAACTATGGCTAGAGAAAGGAAGCTGATGGTCACTTTGGAAGAAAACACCCACAAACCATGGGTCTGGTGGAGGTAGGACTATCCAGGAGCACAGAAGGATGGATAATCCTTTCTGAGTGGCTCAGTTGCAATGTCCTTTCCTCCTTGTATCAGTCTCAACCATCAGATAAGCATGGCTGAATCTGGCTCACACCAAAAGTTCCCATCTTAATAAACTGCTGCTATATTCCCACCAATTGTATTTTGGCTGCCAGCAGAAAAGGTGAGTCAGAGCAGCAGTGTGAGATGCTGGAGAGGTGAGCCCAGATTTAGGTAAGAAAAGCCAGAACTCCTATTGCAAACGAGAGCAGGTCAGGATTATTGCTTGTAATCAGGGGTGCTCTGCCCTGTGCACAGGAGCTTGTGAGCTTTGCACATATTAATCAGATCTTGAGAGAGAACAACAACAAACCTGCTCCTGTCTGCAAACACAGTTCACATGAAATTAGGGGGATAGATGAGCACGGCTGCATTTAAAGGCAGAGCAGGAGTAAGTCTGGGAACCCTTGTGAATAAAAAAACAAAGCTGTTATCACATCAGTCCAGTGAAGCATTTGCATGTGTCTTTTATACTGACAATTCCCCACACCACCTGCCAAGAATAAAGCAAACATCACACCAAGAATGTCAAAGTCTGAAGAAAATACCAAGCCAAACACACCCAGCTGTGACAAACTCTCACATGGCAGCAACAGCTGTGGCTGACTTGGGGGCTAAAGCTTCACAGTGCTGGTAGACTTTAGGCTGTTGAGGGTTGGCTGTGGAGTGAAACTGCTGGTTGTGAGATGGAGTTGCCTTTCTGTATCCCAGGACCTCATTTACTGAGAAAAAATGTGAGTCTGAGACACAAAGGTGAACCTTAAGCACATTGCCTCCACTGCAATGTGATGAACACAAAACTCTGATGGGGATAGGAGGGGGTCCAAATCACATTCACTCCCTTAATTTTTTTTTGCAAGGAAAAAGAAGTCAATGCATCTCAGCCATTTGGAAATACTCCAATCACTTTCCAAATGTCTGCAGACCATCAGTTCAATTTGGAAGCATTTTGAAGCATAGCTAAGTCAGATAATGGAAGCTAATTCCTCTCTGCATTTTTCCCTTCCCACCTTCTGAGCAAGGTGAGACCCAAGCACGATTAACAGCAGCAGCACCGAGGAGTTTAGTGCATCTCAGAGGGGAATGGCAGAGGGAGGTCCCTGTTAGCTGAATTGCTAAGAATGGAAGGTTTGTGATATTCAAGTGATAATTCAAGTGATGGACTTTTCAGTCCCACTCTTGATTTCTATATATATTAAAAGAAGCTTCTGGATATGCATCACCTTATTAACAAGGATGCAAAGAAAACTATTCCAGTGTCATCTGCACCAGTTTTAGATTGGGGTCCCCTTTTGATTCCACTGGGGCTATTTCCAAGTGGGATCTGTGCAAGGGAAAGGAAACCTCAACCTGAAGTCATGCAAGGCAACTGGTCAATCCCAGAGAGAGTGCAGAATCTCAAGTAGTTTGTTTTTCCAAACATCCCATTCCTTAGCAGACAGCCACGTGGGGAACACAGTGCTTGGAAGAACATTTCTGCTCAGACTGAGACCTCAACACACTCCTGAATTTCAATTGAATATGAAAAAAAAGCCACTTTCCACCACTGGATCTGGACTGCACAGCTCAGGCCGTGCTCCTGTTTCTGTTCCTGGGAATGGGCATTTTTTCTAACTCCATCCTTGTTTTTTAAGTTTCCTGCATGGTTAAGGCAGTTGCAGGATGGAGGTGAAGTACTCACAAGTGAAGGCCCATAATGCAGTTTGGGAAGAAGGAGGATGTCTGATGCTCTTCATTTGTTATTCTGTAACAAACATTGGGTTGCAGGCAAAAATGGCTTGTGGTTCTGAAATCAGAAAAAAGCCAGAATGCCTGCTAGTGTGGATGAAGGGTTTGGTCTGTTTGTTTTCTTTAAACTAAAGCTCTGTTCTTAAATCTGTACCATAGCACTTACAGCAAAGCCCTTCACAATGCAGGCATCAGACTTAACCCTGGGAAAAAAAAAAAAAAAACAAAAGAAAAGAAGGGGGATGGGGGAAAAGCTTTTCAAAAGTTCCATTATCAAAAGAAAATAACAATCATGTAGGATTTTCAAGTTACAGCTTAAAAATAATGTAAGTAACCCCATTCAACTGCATCTCCCACACATACTAAGAGAAGAGATCAAATGAAAAGAGTAAAGAAAAACAAAAATGAAAATGTTACGTGCCCAGGAATCCTATTTCTATAACTCCGGTCAAGGGGGACTTTTGACTGTACCAACAAACCACAGCTCATGCACTGGGAGTTTGTTTTACATCACATCAATCAGCATGCTATTCTCCTTCACCTTGGTCCTTCAGAGGGGAAAATCATGAAACTGTGAAAGGGGTTATGAAATTTCAAGCAATCAGGCTTTTAGAAAGGTTCTATTCTGTGACATTTGTGTTCGAGTCTGAAAGTGTGTGTATAGTATAAAATTATGAGATAACATTTGGAAAGACAGCAGTCTAAGTAATAAATCTGCAGAATGAAGAGAACTGTACAGAATGATTTCAAAGGCTTATAGTTGACAATTATACATATTTGATGAGACAGTTATGCACGCTGTGCCTTTTTTGAATTAATTGTTTTATGGATGCAGTATCTCTGTTTTAGCAGACAGGATATACTAAACCAATGTAATGGTCTAAAAAGCATCATTTACCACCCAACGTAACAATGGCACTGCATAGCTTAATATTTTTTTTCCTTCAACTCCTTTATCAATCGAGTGATTCTTAACATGGCTGAAACCCAAGAATTAATTATCTGCAGTTACAATATTTGTTGAGTATTTGGCACAATGGAGTTTATTTGATACACCCTTTTTCCTGCCCTTATTGTTGCTGAACATGTCATTCTGTGCACAAGCTGCAAACACCCATGTAAAGTCAGTCAAGTGGAAGCAGTTTGATAGCCCACACCCATGTTGCAAAGCCTGGGTAAGAGCAAAGTCTGCTAAAAAGGTGCTGAACATGAGTGACAAGTTATCAACCCTCTGTAATTGTGCCAGCTCTGGGGTGTCCACTGCAGCAATGGACAAGGACTTGGGGAAGATCAACCCCTCTGCCACCTGCATGGAAGTGACATCCAGCATTTGACTCAACATGCCAGGTCACTCCTCTAAACAGCCTCAAGTTCACAATAGCTTAGAAATGCACACAAAAAAGGAACTTTTCATTATGATGCTAACCCTTAAAGCCCTTCTGACATTTAGTCCATCAGAAACAAGTCTGGTTCCTGGGGAAAAACTCATCAAATGCTGCCAATGTGCATTGCTTCTCAGCAGGAATGTTTTGGAAAACAAAAATATGCATACAAAATAGGCCTGACCCCCCTGCTTCTTGTAATCAGATGAAAGTTTCCCCACGGTTTTTGCAGGTTTAGGTAAGACTGCACTGCAAGAGCCAAGCCAAATCTGCTCCTGCATGGAAGCTTTGTGGGGAGCTTGAATGGAAGTTTGAGTTGCTCAGTGCTGGCCAACCTCTGCTCCTATAACACAGCCTTCCAGAGGAACACTATTCCCACATGTACAAACAAAATGTGGCATCCAGGAGAGATTATTCCATTTTCCTCACATGGCTTCCCACTGAAAGTCAGTGGAATTTCTCAGGTGAAAAATAAAATACCAGTTGTGAGGGTTGAAGGATTAAGGTCAGTATTTCTCTCATCTTGTACACACACGCACACACACACACACACACACACACATACACACTTTAAAGAAAACATCCACCACACAATTTCTAGATTGCAAATTATATATATATCTTTAAAAACTGGAGAGAACATAAACAGCCTCTCCACATATATATGTATTCACTGAGTCACATAGAATATGAAAAAACTATATTATGTAAATCATCATATTATCTATAATTCTCCAACAGACAATTGTTTTTATAGAGACACAGTGCATTCATTCTCTTTTTTTAAAAACATATTATGTGTCTTCATTGGCTTGGTAGCATATTAGAATGAAGGCGTATGGATAAAAAATGCAGAGGATTAAACAAACCCCTTGAGTCACATTACGTTTGGGTGAATTAAACAGGATCCTTTACCCAAACTAGCATAAATAAATCCTCCTCATGGAAAAGTGTCAGCGATTTAAGGGTTAACATAGATTTGAAAATAATTTCAAAAAAAACATCTTATTAGAGGACTACACAGATAAGCATTTGGAACTCATCCCCCTTTAAAAATGACAGCACGTTTGGCAAGTGTGAGCACATGTCTTGAACTCTAGTGGGTTTGAGATCTGAGAGCAGTTATTCACAGACAGCCACGAAGCTGCAATCTGTGAATAAGCCTGGGCTGGAAGGACTTGGATACCCCTGACAGCATTGCTCGCCACCGGGAAGGTTTCCAGCAGCTTTCAAGGTATTTATTGTGGACTCGTGGCTGGTGACAGAGTGTGACTGGTGGAGGGACTCCAGCACCGCTCCCTCTTTGCCATGGCAGCAGGTTGGAGCAGCACCCAGCCTGGCCAACCCTGCAGGGCTCCACACGCCCTATCCCAACTGGGACAAAACCTATTGCTGTTATCACCTGGCTGTTATCAGCTTGCTGTTATCACCTTGCTTTCTCTACGCCTGTGCCCAAGCCTGTGCCGAGCTCTCCGGTGATCCTCTGCAGACGCCCTCCTTGGAAGCTCGTACTGTCACCAAAGGGGCTGGTACCCAGCCACAAGGGCTCCCCCCTTTCTCCATCACCCTGCAGGATGTCACAAGTGATCCCATTGAAAGATGCTGTTCTCAAGAATCCTGGCTGGGTCTGACTTTGAGAAAAAGACAAAAAGTTTCCTGTGTTGCCGTTGCTGTTTTGCAGTCGTTTCTTCTTTCATTCGTGCTCTCTCCTTGTTTTTATTAAAAAGGACCCTTGTATTATTAATATAGTTCACCCCTCCACAGTCACTATAAAACAGACTCCATATTTTCACACCACTCATGATCTTCAAGGTTATAGATAAATTTTGTCCTATGTGGTTGATTTTGGGGCACCGAGTCCCGCCCCAGATTGTCTAGGGTGAGAGTAGAGGCAAAAAACTCACTAGTGCTGAGACCACCTTCGTGGTTCTTGATGTATCTTTTATAGTTTTTCCTCAAGCACTGCCAGGTGGTTGTGTACAGGATGAATGCAAAGGACTTGAGGGCAATAGCAATGCTGACATACAGGTATCTGTAGACCACGTTGTCATACAGTGCACAGGCTCCTTGCTCGCCACAGAACGTGCTCCAGAACAGACACGTGGAGTCAATCCCGGCCCCAAAGATCAGCGGAGGTGGGATAAAACCTGCCAAAATAAGAGAGACAAATCATGCTTTTATGATCCCTGTGATAAAGAGAGAGGATGTGACTTCAGTGAGTGGAAAGAAGGTACTTTATCAAGGTTAATAGTCCCAGCTACAGCCTGTGATTCTAATTTTTGAAGTTTTAAATTAACCCGAATGAAGTTTGTGGATGAGCTTTTAGCTTGGACTTAACATCTACGGAAGAGATTCCTGCTGATATCAACATGCAGCAAGGATTTTATTCAAGTTTGAGTGGCTTTTATTAAGTTTCTTGTTTGCCTAATGAGACTAAGTGGAAGGGTAAATGAAAGAGGAGGAGGACAGCCTTGCAGCTCACTCTCTAGAAACTGGCAGTTCTGCACTTTAGGGTGTTCACCTGAAGGATCTCATAGCATTCCAGTTCAGCACCTAAAATCAGCCTCAGCACTGAGATCCAGTTTTGGACTGTACCCTGACAGAGCAAAAGGGTTTCTCTGGATCTAAGGAATAGATACAATAGCCTCTAATAGATGTCAAAGATGCCATCTGAAAAGAAGTGAAAATTTCGGTGTGCCATTAAATGAAATATCACAGCAGGATTCTCCCACAGCCACTGCAGCTAACTACAGATGAGTGTTTCTCAATCATAGTTTGCAGCAGAGCTGCAATCTTAAAGCAAAGTAATCACTCCAATCTCATTTAACTAATAAAGGAAATGTTTTTCTTCTCTACTTTCCCCCATCCTACAGGGACACTGCAGCAACCCCTCATTTCCCATTAACCTGACAGTGATTAGGACATCCACGTTCCAGCTCTGCACTCCCCAGCCAGAGCACATGCACTGAGCGTGCAGCACTGGGATGAAAATGTGAACATTCTACATAATGTAACCATTTCTCTACCTTCTGCTGTGTTAATGGGCAGAGAATAGAAGAAGATAAACCCCGAATAAACCCCTGATTGATAAAGTCACTGGTGTGGGTTAAGACGAGCAAAGGAGACCATTGTATCTACTGAAATCCACCAGCAGGCAGGCACAACATCCTCCTGACAGTATCAATGCATCCGTAGGTGCTGTAATGCCTGAGACTCTATAAATACCTGTGAAAGCAGACACAAGGACTTCAGTTTTAAGACAAGAAAGTGTTTAATCTTGGATCCGGTTTCATCATTAACCTGGATTTCCAGGCTTAAAAAAGATACCTTCCTTCAGCTTGTCACGAGCATTCATGACATGTATCCTAAGACTGCAGATAAATTGGTTGTCTTCACTGTTCCCTGTGGTAACTGAGATCTCTTTATTTTATTTTGTTGATGACTGGAGCTCTGCAGATTTTGTTTGATCTTCCTTATACGTTGATAAATGCAGGAATTAAGAAAGGCTATATGGGCTTTTGGTACCTGTTTTAACCAATCATTAGTAGCACAAATGTAGTAAATAAAACCAGATGATAAAAAAAAGCAAGACAATCTGTTTGTTAGAAATACTAGTTCCAGTCATCATATCTAAAAACCTGTCTGTGTTCTGGAAAAAAAATCAGCGCCAGCTCTTTGTTCATCATTTCAATAACTGGAAAATCCAGGCTGGGTTGATCTGCTTCTGAGTTAAAAGATGCTTTTTCAGTTGAAACCTGTGAACAACCACACACTCAACCCGGATTTTAAAAATTCACAAACAAGCAAGAGGCTGTGCTGCTGACTGCAGTTTGTGTGCCCAGTGCTGCTGGATGGCACCTCAGGGGTAACATCCAGATGTGGCAGTGACTGAGGAGCCACATTCTTTCTGGAATAACAGAAAACCACATTTGGATCATTATTTTGAGGTGTGAGGTGTTAACATGCTGAGAGATGCTGACACAAAGCTTTGGAGACCTGCAGGCTGAACTTCAGAGGAAGCTACCATCCCACCTGCTGGATTCAGCTGGCCTGCCTGGTGTCCACGATAATCTGCCTGGAAAGTGTCCTCATAAGACTTGAGGAAGAACCTGTTTCCCTTGAACACCAAAGCTACTCGCATGTGAATGCAGGCATGTGGAAAAACCTTTAGCAACCAGTGAGTATTTCAGGTTGTTTTTAGCAGAGGAGAGGACGAGAGACTGACAGGAGCAAGTTGGTGCTCAGAACCCCTGAGACAAGGGAGCTGAGGGGTTGCACACCAGGAACTCCTCTTGAGAGTGAAACACTGGGGTTTTGCCATGTTAGAACGACAGGCAAACAGTATGAGATTGGAGATAAAAATCTAAGGAAGTGCCCTGGTAGGGAGAGGCTTTTCCAGGATGCATGGTGAACACCACCCACAAAGGATGCATCCAGGATCTTAAAGGTCTGAAATTCTTTGCCATTCCAGACAATCACATTCTGAACCTTTGGCTCCAATGGCAGTGCTTTACTCTCTTCTCTGGGAAACTGCAGTAATGCTTTTATGTAAAGACACTATTTACGCTGCCCTCTCACAGCAGAATTCCTACAAAATGAGATAATATATGCAGGAGGATATCAGGAGAATTCAGTCATGTTTCATGTTATTACAGTGAATATTAAAGAGAGTCAATCATGTTCTACCTCTTGCTGCAAAGTGTTGCAAAAATTTCTGCTATATATGTATTTCACAGCAGAAACTGTAGGGCTGCATAAAAAAAGGTGCTTCTGTCTTACTGAAATCTATTAGCTAGGATTGCACCTTCGGGTCTCATACCTCCTGCATTTAATTCTCTCCTTTGGTTCAAGGAGCAGCTATTATCACTGTCTTCTTAAGTCAAAGCTTAAAGGTGAACTGAAAAGCTTTTAAAATAAATCAGTAAAGCTATTCTCAAACCTCAGGTTGATAGAGGCACAATGTAGATATCCTTGCTCATATGGAGGAGTATCTTTCTCTTCATTTTCTGTGCGTTCCAGCTACACTGCTGATATGCTTCAGGATGTATTGTCTTATTTCATGGGAATCCCTTAGTGACAGAGCAACATATAAAGATTTGAGTTTAAATTCTCACTATGGCTTCTTTACTGGAATGAAAATAAGAAATCTGTTCAACTTAAGCATACATGTCAGCCTGGTTTTAGAGGAATTCAGGATGCTGCTATCTCAGGAGACTTCTCTCTTTTGAAAGGAAAAAAGAAAAGCTAAAAACTCCTCCCCTGAAGTTTGGAAACAACACCCCACAGCCATCCTCCTTGCACACTTGCCTGCTGACACTCCACATTCAGCCAGTCACAGCTGAAGTCAGGCCAAAACCCACGAGCAGCACCAGCAGCTAAAGAAAATGCTGTGTTTGCAAGGCTTGAACCAGAGCTGACCCAGGTCATCCCAGAAACTTCCCTTTGAGTTATTTGAGCTCTGGGTAAGTTAACTTGCTGGAACTTTTGTATGACTGCAGTTACTTCACCAAAACCAATAGACATCTAATTGGCTTTATTGTAAACTGGTTTGGGAGCACCATTTCCTGTTCAGCTTACAGGGAATGAGGTGTTAAGAAATAAAGAAAAAAAATGAAGTCACTTATTCAAAGCAATGTCTGGTACTGCTGGATTTTCAGTCCTGTACTTCCCAGTGTCTTGCTGTAGCCTAAAAGATGACACTTTAGTCTCCAGCTCATTCCTTTGGGACCAAGGGGGAGCTGTGCAGGGAAGGTGCTCCTTGTGCTCTGCTAAAAAAAGTAAAATTCCACTCCCACAGCATGCAGAAACCCTGGGCGTGAGATGGTCCCACGCAATGATGGATCAGAGGATTTTGCCCTGAATCACTGAGACAAATGAGCTGAAATGGGAGAGGTTTAAAATAGGAGCCACCTCTTCCAGAGGGGAGAAAAACTCCACCCAGAAACAAGCAGCAGCTAGTGTGTTCCCTTTAATTCACACATGAGAAACACATACTAGTCCAGAGGAGGAGCCATGTGCATTTCAATGGAATATTAACCCACAAGATGAAACAAGGACTCAGCTTGTCTCATTTTCCTGGTTTCCTTTCTGAGACACCCAAAGGAAGGGGCAAACCCACCATGTAACACAGATCCTGTCTCTCAAAGGAGGGTGAAAATCCATATCCCTCTACTTCAGCTATATGCAATACAGCAGTAATTCTGCAAGCTGCTGACACGTTAATAACAGCTACAGAAGAGAAACTGGTTGTGTGGAACCATGGGAGAAACAGTCATTTCTCATGCAACACTGCATTTTCTTCCATTAGCACAACACAAATAGCAGGAAAAGTGCCTTCAGGAGCCTTGATGTGACATCCCTCAAGGGCAGGGCTTGGGCCCCAGTGTGCCAGACCCCACCCACGACAACAGCAGCACTACAGGGAGTAGAAATCAACTTTTGCATGTTAAAACTGGAGTGTTCAATGAGGGAACAAAGGTTGGGAGGGAAGGACACACAACTTTTGTACCTACCTAGCAACCGGAGCAGCAGGAAAAGCACCCCCAGAGCGTAAGACTTGAGTTCAGGGCTCACGGTTCTGCAGGGAGGAGAGAGAGAGAAAAAAAAAAATCAATTCCTCTTGTTCTGCTTTGATTAACACACCCTGTGGCCATTCTGTGCTGTCAGCCAGGATGCCACCAGCACCTCTGCAAAAAAGTCATTAATGGGGCTTTTCTTCTGCCTTTTCCTGAACTGCCTACAGCCCTGAAAGTAATTGCATTGGTGATAAGTTCAGGAATTAGCCAAGTCATTAATAACAACAGCTAATGTTGTCATTGGATGGGGAAAAATGGAATTCCCATCTCATTAAATCATTGTTTACAAGCTCCCTATGATGTTTTCAAGCTCCAGATGTTAAGAACTGGAGAGAGAGAAAACTTTTGGTTCTGAAACTCCCCAGACTACTGGGAACAAGAGAGGGAGGGAGGATGGTGGACCAAAGGGTTCAATCAGCCTAGTGATTCAGTGAGGAAGTGCTCAACACCAGTTTTCATGCATGTGACTTCAGCAGGCCACTTTTTTCATCTTGGGAAGACAGTGTTTGCAGTATCTTCTTCTATGAACACAATCACTATTGCATTAAGAGTTATCCTTTACAGGTGCTTAAAAAAACACTCATGGCAGGGGTGGTCTCTGTATAAATACACTGGAGGGGCATCAGCCAAAAGGGATAAAACAGAACCAGTGAGAGCTTTTAGGTCAGGAGAAGACCCTTCTGATCACCTGCCCTCCTCTCACACATTCATGGGCCATGTAATACCACACCATGACTTCTGCATGAAGCCTGTGACCTTGGGATGAATTTCAGCAGTTTTCAGGCAGACCCCCACGCTTTATATAAAGCCTTTATGCCAGGAATTATGTGACCTTGGAAAAACATTCCAATGGTTAATGGCTTGGAATCCTCAAATAGGATTCTACAGTTGGGTGGGAAATTAGGGAAACAGAGTTTAAAAGTTTATTATAATGAAAAAATAGATTATCACATGGAATATTCATAGTGGGCTTTTAATTATTAGTGGTGTTTCATCCACTTTTCTATATTTAAGACTAAAGTCAATCCTCTTACTTTAGGCTGGAGTAAAAATTTCCACTTGGAGACATCTCCTTTTCTCACTGACTACAGCAGTGACCAAATGACTTGCTTAGACAAGGTATTTAATTTATAAACACTGAGTCCATTTTTAAATAACCATGGGAGCTGCCAGTGTCACTTGTCACTGCTCTGGACACCAAGGACACATTCATATGCCACAACTTTCTTTAAGCAATGGAAATGGCAGTTGCAAGAGAGCACGAGGTAGTATCTGGCTCAGAGCTCTCTGCTGTACATTTGGTAGCTATCAGTGATTCTGAGTGAAGTTACAAATCTGGATGTGTGAATTGTTTATTTCCTACAGCTCTGAACTGAGTATGTTGAATCTTCCCTTTGCTTTTTTTATTCCCGGGTATTCTTCTTCCTGGCTGGTGCTGGGCTTATCTCATTTGAAGGCAACACAAAGATGTCTCCATGCAGGATCCTAAAGGTGCTGGCAGCTTCCTTGAACAAAGAACTCTTCAAACTTCAAATTGCTTTTGTCATAATATTTATCACGAGGAATTTGATTTCCCTTTAGCTACCAAAGATGCAAAGAGAGAAATGAACTAGTAGGTGGAATATCTCATTTTGTATCCTGCAGGGAGACATGCCCTCACAGAGCTGTTCTGTCCAAAATCCACTCAAGAGTGTGTTTCTAATACAGACCTTATTGATTGAATTTTATTGGAATTTTCCAGGCAGCAGAATGGATCTGCTATTTATGCCTCTGGTTATTATTCTCAGTAAGTGACAGCTTGGACAGCTAAGTAATTCTGGATAAATGTGGGCTTAGATATATATGTATATCATAAGGTGAAGTGTTCCACATGTCTGGAAATAACACAAGGTCAGTTATTTGAATAAGCTACTTTTGCCCACCTATTCACATTGGCTTAACTCAAGACATGTCCTTCAGACTTCCAAGTTCCCTATGTTCTTGGACTTGGTCCAGGGTGAGAGAAGTTGAACTCCAGTCAGGGAGGTGTTCACCAAAGCTAGTCTTTGCTGCAGCTTTTCATTTTTCTATGGTCTCCAGACTATCTCAAAAGGTGAGCTTAAGCCTTTCTCTAAGCCATTACATGCTGAGAACATGGGGTGGCAATTCTGCCCCTCTCCTGATGCAGCTGTAGCTTCCTTACTACCTGGATTGGAGACTGCACATCTGTATCTCCATGTTAATCCCAGAAGAACAACCCCTGCCACCGTTCTCTGCAAATCCCTGCAAGAATCTTGTCCATTTGGGGGCCCAGTTCCACCTCACTCCCTCACTTTACTAAAGGAGAGCTCGAGCAGTTCCTTTTTCTCTCTAGCAGCTCCATACTGCAGCCCCTGAACTGGGGCCATGCCATAGCTAAGCCAAGTGCTACCAAGTGAAAAAAGTGGCTTAGGGAGAAAACGGCTTGAATGGGTCTGGGGACAGTGAGTTCTGTGCAAAAGGCAGAGGCCAGGAGCTGTGTGGGACCCTCAGCTCCCCACTGTGCCCTAGGGTCCCTCCCACCCTGATTCCTTGAAAGGAGTGGCCCCACCTGATGAGGATGGTGACTGAGATCCTACCTGATGAGGATGGTGAATAAAGGCCCC